CACCATGCCCGGCTAATTTTTTGTATATTTATTAGTTAGCCAATTAATTTCTTTCTATTTATAGTAGAATGGGGTCTCGCTGTTGCTCAGGCTGGTTTCGAACTCCTGACCTTGAGCAATCAACCTGCCTTGGCCTCCCAGAGTGCTAGGATTACAGGCGTGAGCCACCTCGACTGGCCGGTCAAATATTTTTTATGTGAGCTTCCCTATCCATATAAACAATTTGAGTGACTAAAAATCAGCATATCTACCTTTTCTGGCAGCTCGATCTTGTGGGTATCCCACAAAATAATATTACTTTCACCAGGGACCTTTCCAGAAGTTGGCTGGCCATGGCCACAGCCATGGGGCCCCTGGAAGATCCTATAGGGGGATCATGAATACAGGAACTCCTCTGGCCATCTGGACAACCTCACTTGGAGGAGGGTATGTGAGGGAGGAAATGACAGGTAGGGTGTTAGAGAATTGCCCTGAGGGAAGAAATGGACACTTGAGCAATGTTACTTGCCTGGGCCCAGGTACTGGACAAACCTTGGAAAAATCTGAGAAAGGTATTTCAAAGAAGGGAGACAGAGAGGGGAGGCCCTGAGGCTCAGGGTTTGGGAGAGAACTCTACTTGCTGCTGTCTAGGGCGGCACTGATTTTCTATTAGCTTCAAGGCAAAGTTCATCCTTCTTTAACATTGGATCCCTCCACAATCTGACAGAGCTCTTTAACAGTTGTGGAAGAAGCACCTTGATTCAGTGGTATGCTGAAGCCAGCTTTCCCTTGCTCCCAAGAACCAGCTGTGGGCATTTCTTCCCAACTCCATATTCAGTGATATCACATTGGTAGCCTGAAATTCACCATGGTGGTTTATTGGCAATTGTTGCAAATCATGGGTTTTTGTTGTTGTTCTTTGTTTTTGAGAGCCGTTTAACCATATAGCCAATAGTCACCATATACATTACCATTGAAAGGATATCTTTTTCTACATTGAGAGGTATATTTTACTAAGTCTTTCAAGAAGAAGTGTTTTCAAAGTATGTCCTAGACAGAGTGTTTTTGGAGCTGAGGAATTTGAAGCAAAAGGAAGGAAATTTACAGGAAAAAGAATTCTAGAAACATAGTTTTATATAGTTAAACTTAATTTAACTAAGGCCTTTGGCATCAGGCAGATGTGGAAAAGTTGGAAAACTCTGTAATTATTTTTATGAATCCAGAGGATTTTAATACTGATGACTGATAAGGACACTACAAAAAACAAAATCAACTGGGCGCGGTGGCTCACGCCTGTAATCCTAGCACTTTGGGAGGCCGAGATGAGCGGATTGCTCAAAGTCAGGAGTTCGAAACCAGCCTGAGCGAGACCCGGTCTCTACCAAAATAGAAAGAAATTAATTGGCCAACTAAAAATATATATATATACAAAAAATTAGCCAGGCATGGTGGTGCATGCCTGTAGTCCCAGCTACTCGGGAGGCTGAGGCAGTAGGATTGCTGAGCCCAGGAGTTTGAGGTTGCTGTGAGCCAGGCTGATGCCACGGCATTCACTCTAGCCTGGGCAACAAAGGGAGACTCTGTCTCAAAAAAAACAAAAAACAAAATCAGAGAATATTATCACATATTAATATAGATGCAAAAATTATATAAAAATATGAATCAATACAACCCAGTAGTTAAGAATTAGATATTAATAATAAAGAATACCCAATTAGGATTCATCATAGGAATTCAAGGATAGTTCAATATCAAGAAAACTATCAATATAATTAATTATGTTAATAAGTTTTTAAAAATCTTATTGATAGATTTTGAAGAGATAATTGATAAACTTCAGTAGCCATTCCTAATAAAACTCTGAAGTAAAGGAAAGAATTGACACATTTGACTCTATTAAAATTAAAAACTTCTCTTCATCAAAAGATACTACATGCAAAATGAAAATATAATCTACAGACTGAGGTAAAAAGTGTGCAATAATGAAAAATGTTCATATTTTCATATGCAGAAGATTTAAAGAACTACAAATCAGTGTGCAAAAGACAAAGAATCCAGAAGAATAATTGGAAAAAGATATGAACAGGTAATTCACCAAATGAAAAGACATTCAGTGCCACTGTTAATAAGTTAAATGCAAATTAAAACAATGTGAAGCAACGAGTAAGATGTGCAACGTTTGGGGGATGGACACGCTTGAAGCTCTTACTCGAGGGGGGAGGGAGCAATATATGTAACCTTAACACTTGTACCCCCATAATATGCTAAAATAAAAAATAAATAAATAATAAATAAAATAAAACAATGTGAAGTACCATTACACATCTGTCAAATTAATTAAATTTCCAAAGCATGATAATAGTAAGTGTTGGCAATGATGTGGAACAACTAGAATTCTCACTGCTGGTGGAAGTGTAAATTGGCACAATTACTTTGAAGAGCAATTTTGCAGCATCGGGGAAAGCTGAAAATACACATACTGTATTGGGCACCAATCTGTGCAGTTCCTCAGACTCTCATGACTGCCTTCTCCTTCCTAAAGGCACTGTTCACCTCCTAGCTTGCACTGGTATTGCTGCTTTTACCAGTGACTTTGCCAGGCTCCCTGAGCTGGCTGGAGTCTTGAGTCGAAAGCCTAGATTTTCACAGCTCTTGTACTGCTTATGTTAAGCCTGTTCACAATAAATCGTCTCTCCACTTGTAGACTTGGGTATAACACAGGTTATGGGATTTGACTTCTTAAGTTGCTGCCAAGAAGCCAGATGGTGTACCCCTGAAATGCAGGGTTAAGAAAGGTAGTCAGCTCCTTGTGGGGTGAACTTTGACCTATGGGAAGGAGTAAGAGGGGAAGACAGATGGGCAGGTGAGTCTCCTCTCCCTTTCTCATTCTGTAGATTATGCTGTGATGGGCTTTCTCCTTCAGACATTCTGGTAAAAGATTTTCATGTTGTGTGGCCCTATCTGCTGAGTGACAGCTATTTTTCTGTGGCTTACTGCGATGCATTGGCCTGCACGGTAAAGCATTGCATTGTACTGCTATGTATCTTTTCTTGCCTCAGTTCTCCTTTTCCTTATGCTTATGCTGGGCTTTTGCCTCCTAAATTGTCAGCATCTTAATCCTTGCCTCAGGCTCTGTTTTCTAGAGGGTTCAGCCTAAGATACTTAGAATTTTACTCCTAGTTCTAAACTATAGAGTGACTGTTTTTTTGTTTTTTTTTTTGTTTTTTTTGAGACAGAGTCTCCCTTTGTTGCCCAGGCTAGAGTGAGTGCCGTGGTGTCATCCTAGCTCACAGCAACCTCAATCTCCTGGGCCCAAGCAATCCTCATGCCTCACCCTCTGGAGTAGCTGGGACTACAGGCGTGCGCCACCATGCCCGACTAATTTTTTCTATACGTATTAGTTGGCCAATTAATTTCTTTCTACTTATAGTAGAGATGGGGTCTTGTTCTTGCTCTCCGCTCACCTTGGCCTCCCAGAGTGCTAGGATTACAGGCGTCAGTCACCGCCCCTGCCTAGAGTGACTCTTATACATATGCATAAGGACTGCAGTCCCTAACCCCTGGTCCACACCCAATACCAGTCCCAGCCTTTTAGGAACCAGGCTGTGCATCACCATCTGAGCTCCGATGGCTCCCCGCCTACCCTCCCAACTCCCCCCGCCACTCCATCCGTGGAAAAATTGTCTTCCATGAAACTTAGGAACTGAGCTGCACAGCAGGAGGTGAGCAGCAGACAAGTGAGGGAAGCTTCATCTGTATTTACAGCCGCTCCCCATCACTCGCATCACCGCCTGAGCTCCACCTCCCCCCGCCCCAATCCATGGAAAAATTTGTCTTATGTGAAACCAGCCCCTGGTGCCAAAAAGGTTGGGGATGGGGACTGCTGCATAAGGTGCTATCTATAAGAATGTTTACGGTGGCTCACGCCTATAATCCTAGCACTCTTGGAGGTCGAGGCAGAAGGATCGCTCAAGGTCAGGAATTCAAAACCAGCCTGAGCAAGAGCGAGACCCCGTCTCTACTAAAAATAGAAAGAAAATTAATTGGGCAACTAAAAATATATAGAAAAAATTAGCTGGGCATGGTGGCACATGCCTGTAGTCCCAGCTACTCGGGAGGCTGAAAGGGCAGAAGATTTGCTTGAACCCAGGAGTTGAAATGGTTTGTGTGGACTTTTAGGCTGGAATGCCATGGCAATTTCTTGCTTGGGCAACCAGAGGTTGAGAAACTCTGTCCCTCAAAAAAAAAAAAAAAAGAATGTTCATTATAGCCTTGTTTGTAATAGTAAACATTTATAAACAATTAAGTATTACTGTGGCGAATTTAACAGAGAGAAAATTTAATAATCCCTTTGAAAAATGGAATGACCCTGGGAAGCCTAATCAATACCTGTGGCTACATCTCGAAAACATAGTGGAGCTAAAAAGGAAGCGGCAGAAAAATTACTGTTGCGCATAACCATTTATATAAAGTTTACAAACATATAAAAGCATCTTGCCAATGTCTAGCTATGTGGTTTTGTAGCATAAATATAAAATATTTCAGGGAAGAGAGAGCCATAACTTCAAGACAGAGTAGGTTGCTTTTTGGAAGGGAGAAAAGGGAAAATGAGATGTGAGAGGGAAGTCCTCCTTTGGGAAGTTTCAGTGATATCTGCGGTGCTTTGTTTCTTTAAGTTGCGTGGTGGCGCGCAGGTGTTAGCGGTTGGGAAAAGGCTGGCTTCAGCGTCTTCACTCTTCCTCTCTAGGTTCAAGGTCCTCCGAGCTCGCCTGCGAGGCCTCCCGGGAGGCAGAGGCTGCCCTGTGTGAACTGCGCCCATGAGCTTCCTTGTTCTCTGGCTTGCACCTGGGGCCAGCTAGCGGCGGGCATCCCAAGAGGAAGCGGCAGGAAGAGCAAAGCGGGGTTTTCAATCCATGTTTTCTATTTTTTTGCTTTAGTTTTTTTCTTATTTACTTAAATAGTCCACACAAGCACGCATGGAGACTATAAGACAGATACAGACAAGCTGGGACCGTGGGCGTGTGGGGGAGGTGCTGATGTGGGCGAAAGGGAAGGAAAGAAGAAAAGGAGCCAAACCCGGAAGGGAAAATATAACTTCCTCTCACGAAAGGGGCTAGGGGTCACGTGGGGGCGCTTATGAAAGCTCCCCAAGGACTTGTTTTCCATCTAGGTGGAACAGACAATGAACACTCTTTGAGGCATGAGGCCGAGTGACCCAGAGGCAGAGGTGAGGAGGGTTGGGGAAGCGACACTGTAGGAAACTGAAACGACGGGGCTCTTTCCCTGATCCCAGGACTAACAAAAGCATTTCGCTAATCTCACACAAAGTCTCCTCTCTGCCCCAACCACCAGCCCCTTTAGGATTTTAGTCCTCCTGCGCCCTGAGGGGGCACCCTCCTCCTCCTCACTGCAAAGCACAGGGCAAAGTGGGGGTGGTTTTTTTTCCTAAGTCAAGAACTTTGGAAGAAACAAGTCCCCGAATCTGGTTTGCAAGCCCAGGCTGGATAAATACAGGGACGGGAGCCACAGGTATTGAGCCAAAGGGAGGGGAAGAAGCGGAGATCCAGGCAACTGAGGCCAAGACGGCGGCAAGTTTTTGAATCATCTTGAAATCACCAGAGCAGATACTTGCCTCTTAAGCATCCTTTGTCATCCCATTCTTGGGTTTTGCCAATTTGGCCTCTTGCCTTAGTTTTTTCATTCTGAATTCTATCCCCTTGATAAAGAAAGCAGAAGTGAAATTGTTAAAACACCATTTTCTTCGTCATCCTCAACCCCAACGTCCCCGCCAATCCATTCTCTTCCTGCAGCCACAGCAGTGCTTCTGCTGTGCAGATCTGACTGTGTTCAGCTTCCTCTCACCTTTAGAATAAAATCTAAACGTTTTTTTGTTTGGTCAATAAGTCTTCCCTAATGTTGTCCTCCCCACCTGCCCCTTTAAAAAAAAAAAACAAAACAACCTTTCTGGCTTCATCGCTGGCCTCTTTCCTGTCTCCCTCTCTGTACCCTTGTCATTCTAAGAGATGCAGTTTGTGGTTAGAGCAATTCCTCCACAACCCCACTCTTGGGGGTCAGGTAATATATTTGTTGTGGTCAGCTGTCTGTGCATTCTGGGGTGTTTAGCTGCGTACCTGACCTTTAAACCCACCAGCTGCCAGTAGTGCTCCTCCAGTCGTGACAACCAAAAATATTTCTAGACTATTCCGGTTCTAGTCAGAACTGGAAGAACAAGTCGAATCTGGGTTGCCAGCCCAGCTGGATAAATACAGGACGGGAGCCAAGGTATGGAGCCAAAGGGAGGGAGAGCGGATCCAGGCAAACGAGGCGCAGACGCGGCAGTTGAATTCATCTTGAAATCACCAGAGCAGATACTTGCCCTCTTAAGCATCTTGTCATCCATCTTGGGTTGCAATGTCCTCTGCTAGTTTTTCATTCTGAATTCTATCCCCTTGATAAAGAAAGCAGAAGTGAAATTGTTAAAACACCATTTTCTCGTCATCCTCAACCCCAACGTCCCCGCCAATCCATTCTCTTCCTGCAGCCACAGCAGTGCTTCTGCTGTGCAGATCTGACTGTGTTCAGCTTCCTCTTACCTTTAGAATAAAATCTAGGCCGGGCGCTGTGGCTCACGCCTGTAATCCTAGCTCTTGGGAGGCCGAGGCGGGCGGATTGCTCAAGGTCAGGAGTTCAA